CCCCGCCTCCACGTGGGAATAATTTAACATCGGCCAATCGTGTTATGCAAATCTGCATTTCCTCGGCGGGAACTCTATCCCCGCCGGAACTCTTCACCATGCCGAGAATTCCCCTGCCTTACCGTGCCTTGTGCTGGAAAGTTCCACTGTGTCGAGGCACTGATCCAAATCAGCTCTGACAAAAGCGTTTTATCATCTTTTATTCTACTCTTACACAACTAATATGGGTTGTAATGATTTGTACATTTGTATGTGTACAAATTGTACATTTATATGTGTAACATCCTCTGCCTTAGAATAGGTAGATTTTTTCTTGACCCAGAATGCTGTCCCCATACTGGATAGCTAAAGAGCTGACTGAAGGAAAGAACTAAAACAAGGAAAGGACTGAAAATATGGAACTGTTGCTTAGCAGAGCTGTCAGCTGAGCAGCCAAAATGGGATTTAAAAAAAAAAAAAATGTAGGTCTGTAAAGTCCCTACAAGATTTTTTTAGTGGCTGGAAAAATTTGGCTCTACTCGTTAAAACGCATGTACAGTGTTTTTCTTGAAATAAAATAACCGGCATTTTCTTAAAAATTAAAATCCCTTTCATAGATTCATAGATTGTAGAGTCGGAAGGGACCAAAATGGATCATCATGTCCGACCCCCTGCCAGGAAAGAGGACCGAGGTCGGCAGTGTAACGAGGCCATCAACAAGGCCAATCGCACCTTGTTGTGCGTTAGCAGGTGCATGACTAATAGATCAGAGGAAGTGATGCTCCCCCTCTATGCGGCACTGGTTAGGCTGCAGTTGGAGTACTGTGTCCAGTTTTGGGCACCACACTTCAAAAGGGAAGTGGAGAATCTGGAGAGGGTCCAGAGGAGGGCCACTCGCATGATTAGTGGCCTTCGTGATAGACCCTACAGGGGGAGGTTGAGAGAGCTGAATCTCTTCAGCCTTCACAAGAGATGGCTATGGGGAGATATTGTGGCCACCTATAAATTTATTAGGGGAGGTCAACGGGGAATAGGGGAAGCACTGTTTACTAAGGTGCCCCAGGGAGTAACTAGGAATAATGGGTGTAAACTAGTTGAGAGTGGATTTAGGTTAGATATTAGGAAGAAATTTTTCACAGTAAGGGTGGTGGGGATCTGGAGTGGGCTTCCAAGAGAGGTGGTGCTATATTGGAGTCAGTTATGACTCCAAGATCCCTCTCTGCCTCTGAGCTGCTGAGAAGGACACTCCCAAACCTATAGGTGTGCTGGGGATTCCTCCTTCCCAGGTGGAGTACCTTATATTTATCTTTATTAACTTGCATCCTATTTCTCTCTGCCCATTGATCCAACCTGTCCAGGTCGGCCTGAATCTGCTCCCTGCCCTCCATTGTACTAACTTTGCCCCATAACTTGGTATCATCAGCAAACTTGGAGAGGGTGCTCTCCACGCCCTCGTCCAAATCGCTGATGAAGATATTAAATAATATTGGTCCGAGGACCGAACCCTGCGGGACCCCACTGCCCACCTCCCTCCAGGCCGAGAAGGAACCATCTACCACCACTCTGTGGGTGCGGTCCCTAAGCCAGTTGGCCACCCACCTGACTGTGTAGGCGTCCACTCCACAGTCTGCTAGCTTCCCAATGAGGATAGGGTGCGAAACTGTGTCATTTCAATTTTGGATCATTCTTGCTATTTTCAGCACTTAGCATCTCTTTCTGACTGAAGGTAGTCTTCCTGACCAGCCAGGGGTATTCAAAAATAAATAAGTATGTCATGTCTTAGAATTGAAACACTTCAACATATAAAAGGAATTCGTCCTCCAAGCTTCAGTTGTTGCCAGTAGATTTTAGTTTAAGCAGGGGAGAAAAGGAAGGAATAGAATCACGGATAGGCCTTGGAAACTTGTGGACATTTGCTATCTTAGCCCAGGTTCTCCAATATTCTCCAGTCTGTCTGCCCAACCTCCTGTTTCATTCCCTTCATCCATACTCAAATATAGCTACTGGAACTGTGGTTCACTTGACTCCACAAGCTAACTCGTTTAAAGATGGGGAGTCCAGAACTGAGAGTTCTCTGCACTGTAGCCTGCAGGTCTAGCCCTTTTTCTTTAGGTTGGCCCGTTATCTTCATCTGGGTGCGTGTGTATAAATATAACCCATGCCTCTCACCCATGAACTTTGGAAACGTTTTGGAAAATTACATGGAGATAAATCATAGAACTTAAAAGTTATTCCAGAAAAGCCTAGATACTATTAATGTAGATCTCAATCACCCACAGGAGTCTCAGGGTGTAGACAGACAACAATTTTCTCTCTCAAACTAAGAACACAAATAGAAGTTTAGCAAAAGTGCTTCATCCAGGATCAAAGTTAGTGTGATTTAGTTCACTTCTATTGCTTCAGAATCATGTAGACATAATAATTACTTTTTAGCACACCCCACCTCCCCTTTTAAAGAAACAAAGCGTGTCCATTACCCTCAGGTTCTTCAGGCATCATCCTATTTTAGCAAGATTCTTAAATTATCTGATTTATGTCTATTTAGAAAACCTCTTTCCTTATGGCTCCTTAACCTTATCCTGTCAAGTTTCTTAGCCTAAGGTTCTTACTTTCACAAATCGTTAGTAGTCTAACATAATTCCTGAGTAGACAGTCCATTGCCAACCAGGAATGATATCTGAAGGCATCCAGCAAACTAATATTTCGCCATTGAGAAATCTCATTTTCAACATGTAACTATTATAAAATAAACCTTTTGTTCCTAGAGAGGCACCAGCCTGGGGAAAATTGCAAGATTCCTTTTCCATATGATAGAATCAAGTTCTCATATATATGCACTTGATGCAAGTTCTCATATATATGCACTTGTGATGGTCCCTTAATTCCAAAAGTAATATTCAGAATCAAAGCAAGATATAAATATTCTAATCCTTATAGCCCCATATTAGTTGAGCCAATTCTTTCCAACAAATCTTACTGGTTATTAAGGCTCCCATATGTTTCCCAGACAGTACCATATTTGATATTAGAACCAAGAGGTCAGATACTTCAGCCAAACTTCCTCCAGTCATAAAATGTGACAGTGTAAATGATGACTGGTGGAATGCTACCCTGAAAGACTCCTTCTTATAAGTACAAGGGATCCTAGTACAAAGTAAAAGGTTTTCCCTAAAGAAAATTTACTCCTCTAAATGAAAAAGACTTTTATTTGGGCCGCTTAAAATAGTTTGACCTACTGGAGGCCCCTTAAAAATCTTTAACTACAATCTGTTTCCATTCAATTGCATTAAAGTCCAATTTACATCATTCTTGGTATGTCATTTCAGTTGCATTCAGTTCATCACCCCATGATAATGAGGTTTTTAAGATTTGACTATACTAACACACTAGCAAAAATACCCACCCTGTAATGTAGCATCTCATATTGAACTTTCATACCTTATAGGGCCCTGCTTCCCTGAATGTTCTTTACCGTTTTGTTCTTGACAGCCTTGCATCACCATAACAACCACTACAAACTCACTCCTTGCACAACAGTTGACAAATGAGATGATGTTGAGACCTCATCCCAAGTTCATTCCCAAAGTTGTCAGAGTTGTTTGAAAGATCCAGATGTATGTTGTATTTAAAAACCTCATCCCTCCTAGGAAAAAAATTCCACACCGCTTCAGGGATTTCAAGAGTTCTGTTATGTTGCTAGACACATTCTTTCAGGTTATTACCCTTTTATTGCTGTCCCTGGAGCATCTTGGTTTCAAGGTTTTCCTCCCAGGGAATATCAAAATACATTTTCCAGCATATATCAATCTTCTTATAGCTCCAAATATTAAACCTGAGTCCACTACTAGAATATAGTCTGGACCTTCTGTAGGTTTCAAGAGCATTCTTATATTTGAACTTTGTTAGGTAGCTAAGTGGAGTTAACTCCCTTTTATTAAAGATAGTGTTCTTGCTCTGCTACCATATCAAATACCAAAAATGGTAAATAATTATTTCGGGGCAGCCAGGATTCTCTTTCAGACAAAGAGGCATTGTTTATCAGTCACATGAAGACCTACGTCAATATATGTTCAAGAAAAAAAGAGAGAAACGTATACTAACTTCAGTTCTTTTGAGTCTATGTGGCTTCCTCTTTTGGCATGTGCCATTTTGTCCTTGTGCCTCAGCCTTCACAGCAAAGGTTGTAAGGGCAGAGCAGTTTCAACTGTTCCTCAGATCTCGTAATAGTTTGGAATCCTAAATAGCAGAAAGCAGGGATAGAGGCTGGGATTGGAACACGTATTCGCAAAATCTCTAACTACATTTTTACCATAAACGTTGTGGTAGAAATGTTATCTGTGTGCATCTTACAACCAAAACTCTATACATACTTTTTCAGAATTCTGTATCATCATTTTCCTTTATTGATTCATTTTATTATGCTGTCTCTTCCTCAAACTAAACTTTTGGCTCTGTCTTCAAATTTTTGCCTTTGTCTCTACATTTCCTATTTCTTTAATTAGAAAAAAAGTCCTTGGGCTAAAAAAACTCTACTTGAAATGCGTTGTTTTATTTGCAAGATTTTTTTTCCAGTTATACCTCTTCATGATTGATTGCTTCCTTTGATTTAGCTTAAATCTGTTCCTGATCAAATTTAGGATAAACCAAAATAAGGTGGGACTAAGATCATGTGCAGATAAAGATCATCTATGCCCCAGATTTAATTAAATCCACTTAAACCTCTTTGCTTTAAAGTAAGTTCAATTTATCATCTTGTTCTTTCTTCCTTGAATTATTTTAAGTCTCTCGTTTGTTTGTTTTTTTGGGTTTCAGAAATTATTAGCTGTTCTGGAGTATGAAACAGGTCTCATTCTATTGTAAAGTGTGATTTAAAAGTATGGTGCCATATGAACTGATATTTAAATCTAACTTTTATGTAGGTAAATAAAATGGAATTGCAGCTGCAAAATGATTCAAAAAAAGCAGTGTGCTACCAGGAAGAGAAAGTAGAGCTTGAAGATGCTATAAGAAAATTGCGTCAAAGTGTTCAAGAAATGAGAAGCACTTTAGAAAAGTATACAGCCAGCATACAGGTAAGCAAATGTATTACTTTACTTTATTACTAAGCTGCATGGCCTCTCCATGGGAATGGTAGAAATTTGCTTCCCCAACATACTCTTAAGTGTAATAGCCCCTTACCCTTAATAATATGAAAATGTGAGTATCCTAACAGAACCTTCTATTCTGTAGAGTCTATCAGAACAAGAAGTTCTCTTAGAAGACCAACTTAAGGAACTTGAGGCTAATGTAATTGCTGCTGCTCCTGACAAAAGCAAACAGAAAGACCTGGAAAAAAATCTTAATGCCTTCAAGAAAGGTATGTGGTAGCGGTTTGGGGGGGGCGGTGTTTGCTTTTTCGGATTCAGGGTATTTGGCTAGAGATGTAACTTACGATGACATCCATTATCGATCAGGAATTGGGGTGAGTATTACAACTTGATTAGTTTGGGTATATATTTTTTTCTAATGAAGTGCCTTCTTGTATTCCAAGGGGGATATGTTTTTAGATAGTCTTTTCCTCATTATTTTCAGTAGTTCAGGTTCATGTTTCATTTAGGCTAAAACTTGCTTTCTGAATATTAATAAACCTGTATTGGATGAATCATCTTAATGACTTTACAGCAAAGGGGGTCTTAAGGAAATGTAATTTTGCTTAACCAACATTTCTTGTTTTCATTTATATTTATTAATAATTCTAGGGTTTATTAATGGGAAAGATACTCCAACAAAAGTGTATCTATTTTGATTTTGGTTTAGCACTACTTTAGTTTGCTTGTTGCATGACACTGCAGTTGACACTACACACTGCAGCAATTCAAACAAGAGCTTTCTGCAAAGTAAGCAATGTCAGGAGTCAGAATATCTATTTAAACCTAAATTGGGGGAAAAAAATTTATTATGTTCTTTACTGTTGGTACTGTATCAATCCCTTGTGTTCTAGTATAGCCCTGTTTACTCTAAGAACATAAAAATAATAAAATGGCAATGTTAAACAAAAATGTATAGGTTGAAACACAGTGCTACCTCATTATTATGAACCCCTGTGGGCAGGGGGAGAAAACTTCATTAAAAGAGTTCTAGTCAGTTTGCTGCTTCAAGAAATCTGTTCCTGCTTTAGGGATATCTAAAAGGGGATTTTTTTTAGAGAGTGACCATCTCTAAAGTCCCTGGCAGACAGTATACTGAAAATGTGATTAACTACTTAATCAAATCTTAAGTAGCAATCCGGCCACACATTCATGCAATTACTGGTGCGATAACAGGGAGTAAACTATAACATTATTGCACAAAATGTATGGTAACTTTATGGCTGGTTCCCATTGTGCCTTAAATTGAATATGGGAGCAGTTACCAGGGTTGGGAGTGCAAGTCAGCTAATCAGTCTTGAAGGGTTTCAGTGTACTCCCAGGGCTGGAAGTGTCCATCAGCTGACTGGCACCCTGGCTCCCTGCAATGGCAATAAGGCGTTTAGGATTTGAGCCCCAGTCCCAAAGTTGCGCTTCCTACTGTGTACATATGGCATGGCAGGAGGCACTGTTGTTGGGATCATGCAACTTACCTTATCAGGACTTTAACTGAACTTCTGTCAGCAGCCTAAGTTACTTTGTTTGAGATCTAATGTAGATGTAAAACTCATCTCTGGTCTCTTACAAAAATAACTATTTTTTTTTCCTTTAGAAAAAGAGAGTTCTAATTACCACTTTCAAAAGTTAACTACTAATTCTAAAAGTAATAGTTAAAAGTTTGTAGAAGTAAGTTAATTTTTTTACAAGTTTGTTGACCTAAAAATAGGGTTTGACACCTGGGCTTTTAATTAGGTACCTATTCCATGCTGTTTTAAGTTCCTGAAAAATCACTTAACCCAAAAGATCATCATCATGCCAGAGAGGAAATGAACGGGGGGATAAATCGTTCTAGATATACTCGGTTCAGTGTTCTTCCTTTAAATCATACATTCCTGTGTGGAGATGGGATACTGGGCTAGATGGAGTGTTGGTCGGACAGTATGGTACCTACTTATGTTCTTAGCATTCAGAAGTCCTATGATTTAACTTTGCTTGGAGGCTGTAATTAAGAACCAGCTATTTTGTCTGACCATCTCTTCAAAATTTTTTTTGACAGATTATGAATGTGTTGCTGGAAAGGCTGGTAAAGTAGAAAGTGAAGTTAAAAGATTACATAATCTCATAATTGAAATCAATAATCATAAACTTAAAGCTCAACAAGACAAACTTGATAAGATAAACAAGGAAATAGATAAGTATACTTCTGCTGTTACTAAAGCCCAGGTGGCAATCAAGACTGCAGACAGGTATAGTAAACATTTATGTGCTCCAATTTAAGAACCTAAGACTGTAATTACAGTGTTTTGATCATGATCGTTGTATTGACATATATCTTTACTAATAATTTATCAAACTACCATTTTTCATCACCTTTATTTATGACTAGATATGACCGGGGTGGGCTCATACAGCTTCTATTTTACAATATGAAATTGGTTATTGTAGATAAGATTAAAAATTATTACCTTAACTGATAAATAGGCTTATATGACACTTGAGAAAGTGTAGGCATTAAAGCAAGCTACCAGTGGCTACATATCGACCATTTTAGTATCATTTAGAATCAAATTTCTGGTTTTCAACTTAATCCTAGATTTATGCATCAGAATCTTAATATAAGTAGAATGCAAAAACATAATTGCATTGCAGATGGGTTTAATTTTTAAAATGTTGAAGTGTATACAGAGAACAAGTTTACCTTAAAGTAGGTATGGTTCTGGCAGCCTTAATTGCTTTCCTTCAATAATTTTCTTCATTAAAATCCGGTAGAACTCAAGATTTTTGTCTGCTATGTCCCACATAAACATTTGCCCGTAGCTAATAAACCTGCACAACTTCAACATAAGTTTAAAAAATGGCATAAACAATTGAGATGTTAAAAGAGTGACCTTTCAGTGATCTCTGCCAGGAAGGTAAAATTAAGAATATTTGTTCTTATGCCTGGCAAGTCGTAATGAATGCATATATGAAATGTTAAAACTCAATGAGAACACAAACTTAAGTCACTTGATTATAAACACTGATTAAAGAAAAAAGCTCCATAACTGTAGCATCTCCCATGGGAAAGAATTGGAGTGTGTAGGTCATAAAGTATTACTACTCAACTTCTGATATCATGACTTTTACAGAAACTGTGGAAAAAGTAAGTTTCCACAGTCACCATGAAAACTGGCATTCCTCACAATATTCTATGGCATTACCGGGGGGAAGGAACTTGCCATAACTAAAAAGCTGTCTTCTCAGTGGGAGCCAGTTGCTGCAGATGCCCAGCCTTCCAGGGAGGTAGCTGCTGGCACGAATGGAAGCAGCCAAGATGACGGCTGCCTCCTTCCACCGCTGATTGACAAAAAGTGGGGCTGCTTTAGCCAATCAGTGGAGAAGGGGTGGAGCCACATGAGGGGCAGCCCTCAGCCAATCAGCAACAAAGGGTGGGGCTGCCTGGGCTAATAGGGGGGCGAGGGGAGTGCTGCAAAAACAGTGTTGGGTGCTGCAAGCAGCCAGTGATTTTTACTTCGCCTCCATGCGCTTTAAGTAAATCCCTAAGTAAGGGATTGTATTACTTATTTGTTGATTATCAGATTACAGCTTATTTTCTTTGTAAAAAAAAAAAGACCAATTATGCTTTCTAGATCTTTAAATAACATTTACCCATGTTGTACTTACATGAATATACAAATATCTTGAATACCTACTTATTCAGAAATCTGAAAAAATCTGAGGAGTCTGTTCTTCGCACTGAGAAGGAAACTGGAGATAATGAAAAGGAAATAGATGACCTAACAAAAATGCTGACGACACTAGAAGAAAAAGCTACTGAAGTTATGAACGAGTGCAAACAAGCTGAAGTATGTGTAATACCTGTGTACCTCTTTGGAGAGAACATAGTTTGTAAGAGTTATTCATAAACTCTGCTTATAAAATTATAAGAAACTATACACTTAAAAGCATTTTGTGACAAGCAGCCTTTCCTAAGCCTTAATGGTATTTTGTTAACATTTGACATCCAGAGGGGTTTGCAAGGCTTGTAAGAAGTGTTCCATAAAAAGGATAATTTTGCTTATTTTTAAGCCTCGGATTTGGCCCTTTTAAAAAAAAGATTTGGGATTTGTTCTTTTTTTCCATACCCTGGAGTAGTGCTGTTTCTGTCTTGTCATCTTGACTCTTCCAGAAAGAAGAGCGAAGGCATGTAGTGTTAGACCTTAGTGAGTGTCCTACTGCAAACCTACCTTAGCTGGACAACAGCCAAGGATCATGGAAGAAGTACCAGGCAGCCTGATGTGTAAAGGTTCTTGGAAGCCTTCCTTGCACCTGCCTTTATTCCAAAGTATACCTGTGCAGCATGTATATAACTCAGCTCTGCTAATAGAAACAAAGATTTCTAACATAGTTGTAAATAGTATGGAGTACTAAAATTTAGATTCAGAAAGGTAAATGCAAACACTAAGCAAAAATGATTCTTCATTGTATATTCATCTTAACTGGCATTCATTTGTAACTCTAGAAACAACATATATTTTTAATTGCAGTACTATAAGTGCAAGCTTTTCCCAAACAAGTTTGAATTTCACCTTTTAAATATTTTGGTGTCTCTGCTTAGGAGTCATTACCAGAGGTTCAGGAGCAGCATCGTAATCTACTTCAAGCAATGAAGTCAATTCAAGAGGATGAACATGTTCTTCAGAAAGAGGCCCTTAGTATAAGGCTTAAAATTGAACAAATAGACAGTCATGTTGCTGAGCATCAATCAAAGATAAAATATTGGCAAAAGGAGGTAAGAAATGTTTGGTTTAAAATAATTTGTTAATGACTAAAAGATAGGTTAGGAACTCCAAACCATTACAGTTTGTGTGTGCTTGCAGATTGTTGTGTTATGAAGCTGTGGTTTGCATCACTTGCTCAACACCAGTCACAGGGCTATGGATGAGAGCGAATGGAAAGTCAGGCTACTCATGTTTACATGCTTTCCTGTCCTTCCAGTTCAGCAATTTCCAGGGTGTGTAAGCCTGCAATTAGCAGCAGGCAGGGGTTTATGCATCAGCATCCATGCAGTAACAGTTTCTGCCCCTACTCTTAGCCCATAATGAGAGTTTAGGCAGGGCAGCTTACCCCTCAATGAAATAAGTTCCCTAATATATCTTTCACTTTGTCCAGATAAGGGTGGACATTAGGGCTGTGTGAAGCTTCGGTCCCCGATTTGATTTGGTAGAGATTTAGCCAGATTTGGTGGCTGAATTTGGAGCCAGATTTGGTGGCTGAATCTCCAGATCAAATCAGGAGACCCTTTAATCTCTCTGAATTGAATCGGAACCCTCCGAATCGATTCAGAAAGATTCGACAATTCAGACAAACACAGCTTTAAATGTTTTTTCTACGTACCTGAAGGTGGCTTGAGAATGCTGAGATGCTGGGGCGGATGGAGTGTCCCACAGGAGTGCAGGGAGGGGCTCATACGAGCCATGCCTGGTACCTCGAGGTATGTAGAAAAAACATTTAAAGCTGTTTATGGCCGGATTGCTGGTTCTCCGAATCAGTATTATCAAATCTTCAGATTTGGATTCAGCCAGATCGAAATCAGAGACAGTGATCCAAATCAACGATTTGAATCACTGTCCCCAATTCAATTCCAAATCGAATAAAGCCCATTTTGCGCACCCCTAGTGGACACGCAAACACTCCTTATGAGCTGAGGCACAATAAGTTCTTATGCCCTGGGTAACTGAAAGCATGCAGCCTTAAAGATAGTTGCTCAAATGCTGAATGATCTGACCAACACCAAGGGAGTGCACATTTACTCGTTATTGCTACCTATGAGGCCCAAAGACACTGTCTCTGAGAATTCTGTATGAATGTTTTGAGAAGTATTTAAGAGCAAGATATGCAGTCTTTTAGCTTTCATCACATGTTGGAGGGGTTGGGGGTGGTGGACAAAGCACAAGCCTGCCTGCTTTTTCAGATATTTTCCATAAGAAGGTAAACTGAACTGGGACCAGGCCTTAAGATTGAGATGGGGCAGATTTTTATTTAAAATTGGGGGGCATACTGAGTGAAGGAATTGATTATATTTTTTAATTAAAGTAAAATTTGGTAGTAAAAGCTACTTTTCAGGGTTCGTTTGAAAACTAGTGGTGGCAAGTATAAGCATGTTAGGTAACTGTACAAATTGATTTTTAGATATCAAAAATATCACTGCACCATGTAGAAGCAGAACCAGTTGAAGAACTTCCAATTCTAAATCAAGAGGAACTTGAAGCAATTAAAGATCCAGATATTATAATTAATCAAATAGCCCTTTTAGAGGCCCAGTGTCATGAAATGAAACCAAATCTTGGTGCCATTGCAGAATATAATGAGAAGGTAGGCTTTTTACTTTGTTTTCATTCACCCTGTAGCAGCTGGGTAAACTACTAGTACAGCTTGATTTCATTTTCTGTTCCTTAATCTGTCAAAGGGCACATCTATATAAAACATTTACTACAAAGCTGCCTAATTAGCTCCGCAGTAAACATCTCAGTGTGTACATGTGCACTCCTACTAAGGGACAGTAAACCAATAAACTCTGCCTCAGGTTAGTACTTGTCAATACAAGTATTATCCCTGCAGCAGAATTTTTTAGTGCGCAGCAACGCACATGTAGACACTGATGGGGCTGGCTAGGGCACGAGGGTGCTCTGCCTGCCAGCTTACCCTGCACTGAAGCACCCTTGTGCCCAGCCAGCCCCTCCGCAGCACGTTGAGCTGGGTCAGAGCAGTCCTGGGCTGACAGGCTGACCCACTGCTCTGACTCAGCTCAACATGCTGTGGTCCCAGGTGCACATGCCCAGGAGTATATCATGCCGGAGTATATTTCTTCAAATTGATTGCATGTCTAGATGTGTAGTACTATGACCTTTTACTTGTTTTTTTTTTTTTTTTTTTCTTCAATTTAACTGTCCCCATGAATTTCATGCTTAAGAGTACTCAGCGTAGACAAGATCATTTTTGGTCAACAGCATCTATTGGGGTTGTAACTCACATTCTGCTACTTGAAAGCAAAAAGGGCATGTATAGAAGCACTGCTGATTTGGACAAACCAAAGAGTGATCTGACACTTGCATCTATCCTGGTATTTCCTCATTACATGTCTCCTGCCATATTACTCTCTTCCTTATGTTTCTGCCTGACATGCTGGGATGTACTGCTATATTTACACAAGCCTGCATCATTTACCACTTCCAGGATTTGATCCTCCTGTCAAAGAGCCAAGATAGGCATACAGGGAAGTTCTACTGCAACTACCTGGGGGAGTGAAACTGCCCTGTGAACCTCTGTTTTCAGGAGGTACATCAGAGCTGAAATGAAAAGTGCAGTACTGGTAGCAGTGGGGTGAATGAATATAATCATCTAATCAATTAACATTAATTGTGTACGTGTCTATAAAATATTTATGTATATTAGCTTTTTTACTGAGATGCTGTTACATTTTGAAAAGTTTTGGAAGGGGGCCTCAAGTCTAAAAAGGTTGAGAAATACTGAATTTTATAGACCACTTTATTTGTGTTGTGGGTTTTCTTTTCTCTCCTCTAGGAAGAACTGTACTTGAAACGCGTGGCAGAGCTGGATGAAATTACCAATGAGAGAGACAACTTTAGACAAGCTTATGAAGAGCTTAGAAAACAAAGACTTAATGAGTTTATGGCTGGATTTAATATAATAACAAATAAACTAAAGGAGAATTACCAAATGCTTACTTTAGGAGGAGATGCTGAACTAGAGCTTGTAGACAGTTTGGATCCTTTCTCAGAAGGAATTGTTTTTAGGTTGGTCAAACATTTGGTCATGCAAAAGTCATTTATAATCATGGTATTCTTTCTTAATAATAATTTATGTGTTTAAAAATTAATGAAAATCTCTTTTGAACCAGGTGATCTCTTCTTTCTAGCAATGGGATAAATAGCAAGAGAGGTATTTTACTGCACTGTTTCAAAATTAGAGTTGAACTAATGTTGAATTTTACTGTAACTAAATGAATAGGCTTACACTTGCTTGGAGAGAGATGTTTGGTCAAGAAAAAAATTGTAAAAATACATTGGGTCAGCATCACAAAAGATGAAAATTCAGACCATAAACAACCTGTCCGGTTTCCATCATTTGCAGGATAAAGGGAACAAAGTGACTAACTTTAGCATATCTTTCCCTTCCGTAAGTCAGTCCACCACATTGTGTGAGACTGGGGACTGCTGGACACACAATACATTTACACCAGGGTAATTTACATTACTTTTATACAAAGCAGATGGACAACCAATTATTCCAAGGTAGCTGTTTGCCATCCCCTTCCTGGTGTGGGGAGCAGGCAACAGCCTATATGCCTGTAACAAATGATGACCTTGGAACAGGGTTGGCCAAGCACACAGCCTTTACCACATGGGTTTTACTCCCAATTTCTCCCAGTATAATTCTACACCACATTCAAGTAAGTTGCATCGGTGTACAGCTGCACATCTTTTGTCCACTCCTTGGCTATGCTGATGTAAAAAGGCTGATTGCACTAGCATAAATGTGTTGTGGGCCCAAACCCTGGTGTTGAACATAATGCTATGGATTCTGTACCATATGGCACAAATGACTAGCTGTATAACCATCTTATATTATTATTACAGTGCATTCCTGTAAAAATTGTAAATATTGAGATTCCTATCAGGGGGATCCATCTTACGATAATTTGAATATTGTCTCTTGAGACATGGAGATTTTACACATTAGCTAATAAAATATTTTCATTTTAATAACTGTTGATTGGAGTAAATTCAGAAATTACAAATTCTCCATTTTTTCAGTGTTCGACCACCAAAGAAAAGTTGGAAGAAGATATTTAACTTATCAGGAGGAGAGAAAACCCTTAGTTCCCTGGCTTTGGTTTTTGCTCTCCATCACTACAAGCCAACTCCACTTTATTTCATGGATGAGATAGATGCAGCCCTTGACTTCAAAAATGTGTCCATTGTAGCATTTTACATATATGTAAGTACTTCTCTAGTAGAACTAGATAATAGTAGTTACCAAAATAACTTCTCTCCCAGAATTGATTTCTTACAGTTATGGTTACGGTACCAAATTCAACAGATTTTCAGTGTAGGCTCAAGTATTTATGAAAAATTTCAGAATTTGCATACTCTGAGGCTTCTATTTATCACTAATTAAATAAGACAGATGTTCAAAAAGGGGGTTCTCTTTTTAGTGTCCCCTGTTCTTGTTGAGCTGTTGAAAGCTGAGCCCTTTGGATAAATATGACTTCTAACTTAAAGGGTTTGGGTTTGCTAGATTCTTAAGAAAGATCTTCTTAAGTTTCCTGTGCAGTTTTTTAGACGTTCACTTACCAAAGATTCCAGACTTGCTGTTAGTCTTCCACCAATCCTGGCCCCTTAGACTAACAGGATGCTGTCATGGAGTCTGGCGTTTCATAGTTGATAGAGTCAGAAGGGACCTGAGCAAATCATCAAGTCCAATCCCCTGCCATGGCAGGAAAGAGAAAAGAGTTCCACTGTGTCATTCCACTATTTTAAGGACAAAAAGGAAATATTCATGTTTCCATTTTATTACATTAATCTGAGCTTCCCTTTTAAACTACAAGGGATGACCTAAATTCAGCCTCTGATTTTTTTTTTTTTTTTAATCTGATTTCTCGCAACTACCTTTTCCGAGGCTTTATCTTGAATTCTTATTAATCAAGATAATCAATCGCACTTAAAGATTTATAACAAAAAACCACAAATGTAATTATTCTAGTTATAATTCAGAAGCAGAAAATGTGGTTCTCTGAAATTTAACAAACATACTAGAAGATCTTTAAAACCAAGATAGTGAACACATGGATAGAAAATGAATAATTCCACTATAATTATATTTTTGAAGTTAATTAAAAGATCACACACAGCTTGATTAAAAACAAAGGGATCCCACCATGGAATTTTGATTGCATCCAACATGCATGTCAGCATGCAGTTTTGTTTTGTGTAACAAAATTAATTTCCACTGAAGTTGAAAAGTTAGTCCTAATCTGTGTAGAAAATTGGATGGCACAGGGAAACATTTTCATTTATTATTACAGCAAAAGCTGTGTTATCTGCACTTTGTCAACTGAAAAGCTCCACTAACCAGCATCTGAGGGATGCAGCAAAAGTGAAAGCAGAAGTCCCATTTCCAGTTTGGCCACCGCAAGCCAAGTTCTTGTACGGTTCTTCGGCCCACAGCCTGGGGCAAAGAAGCCTGCGTGGGGGCCCCCCTCCCTGTCCCCCGGCACACTGATGCCAGGGAGTGCACCGGATGGTGCACATTTGATTAACCTGCATCCCCCATTCCCGGGGGATGCCGGATAACAGAGCTTTTGCTGAATTAGTTTTATTATTAAAATTTAGCACCTTCACTAATACTTCATAACAAATCAAACTCCATATCCTCTGTGATTTAACTTAATTAATTTCTCCATTTTTGTGCAACCAGCATGCATCACTCACTGCATTTTAATGGACTGTCAGCTGTCACTCGTAGTGGTTCTTCCAGTGCAGCGCGACTCAAACACATCTGGCCTATAGCACCCTGTAATCTGGTCTGTGGGTCTTCCTGCAGGTCTGCAAACTTGGCAGTAGGGGAGTGATGGCTATTAACACTGTCACTGCTCCCCTGCCACCAAATTTCAAAGCCCCACGCAGCTGCACCAGGCCCCAGCTGGGCCAACCCTGCATAGATAGCTACATCAGGTCCATGGCCCGTGTCTCCTGGACTCCTATTCTACCACTAACTAACTATATTTTTACTCTTCAGATGTAGAAAAATATATCTAATCTTAAATTCTATTCATTGTCATTCACCTTGCACTGCATATTTATTCTGTAATAGCAGAAGACCCCTTGTTCCACCCCACTTCCCTCCTATCTAGAAAAATATGATTCTCCGATTCACAAGCAGGGTACCTTGAGACCCTTGCAAGGGTGCCATGCAGTGTTAGCACTGTTAGGTGTACCAACATGATTCACAAAATAAACCCAGATGGCACATCCAGATGAGCGCACATGTACCATTTGCGGTACCACAGACCTGTCTGTGGTGCTGCAAATTGCATGTGCTTCACATGCAGGCATTTGCCACGCTGCTAATTTGCAGCATGTTGGGTTTTTTTTGACACAGGGAGATTCTAGTGTCAAAAAACCTGCACCAGAAAAAAGTGGGGCAGCACACATGGCAGCAGCATGTGCAGCCCAAAACCAGAGCCTGGCTGGCCAGAGCCGTGCTCCAGCTGCCAGCCAGTTTCTGCATGCTCAGATCACTGCTGCTGGAGCCCCAAGACCCCAGGTAAGGCTGCTAGGGCCAGCCCAGGTGCTAGCATCAGCCTCCCCTACCAGACCCAGAGCATTTTTCCCCACGCTAACCCCACGTGCAGGGGTATGTACTGGGGCAAAAAGGTGGGACATATTTGTGCCACTGTTGTTTTTTTCCCCGTGGCAACTGCATGCCCCTACTCCATGTGGACGTGGCCAGAGATTTCAAATAGGAATCCACGAGTCAAAAAACATTTTGAACTCTTGTGTTGAGTTCTGTGCAATGACAGAATTGCTTTATCATTTTTTGTAGTAAAAAAATGCATGAAAACTAAGAGCTGACATTTTTCTGAGAGGTGCCACAAGTCTAAGAAGGTTGAGAACCACCGTTTGATCTGCTCTAACTGATATAGTTTGGCAGCTTGCCTTGTTGCTAGCCAATACAGCTATCCTCAATGATAAATAAGCCTTATGGAATCAGAAGAAAGAGGAAATGAGAGTAACTTCAATGGAATTATTGACATGGGCAAAAGAAGACCAGTGTATTTAAGTACATACAGAATTGGGATTACTTTCCTGCAAGGTCCAAATTTTGTCAAGTTCCATAGAAATTTTGGCCAGTCAGCACCTGAAAAATTGCTAAATAGTTGTAATTATTAAAAGGAAGTCCTTTTCTAAAGTACAGTTATAAGACTCATTTCCTATAATATCACTACAAAAGAGTATGTACCTTAAAATAATGTAAAATAACGCAAATGTTTTCCATTTCAGGAGCAAACAAAAAATGCACAATTTATCATCATCTCTCTGCGAAATAATATGTTCGAGATTGCAGATAGATTAATTGGAATTTATAAAACATACAACACAACAAAAAGTGTTGCAACAAACCCAAAAGTGATTGCATCTAAAGGACTTGCTGAACTTGGTGCTGTTGGATGCTGCTGAATGCAACATTTCCTGTCCAGAAGAAACTGAAATCTAATGAATATTTTCATTGTATAATTGTTGTTTTGCCTGTTTTGTACAGAAAAAAACTGTATGTTTTGTAATTGTTTGTAGATATCTATACCTGTCTAAAGCTTTGTAGATATCTATTTCAGTATTTGAATGTAAGCCAAAATTTGCATAAACTCTTTTTTTTCGTCAATAATCTACTACACTTAATTTTTTAACAGATATTCAAATCTGTATAAATTTAAGCACAACAGAACTGGTCCCCAACCTATATTTAGTTCCACTTCAAAATTCCATTCAGTGGGCTTCATATCAGTGTTTTAGGTTCTGTTTATAGTTTTTGAATCAGCTTTTTATGATGTCTTTTACTAAAAATAAAAATTAATCTAAAGTTTTTCCTTGTTTAAATATTATCATGCAGAGATGATTGTAAGCCTTACTTGATGGAAGTACGATGTATACAGTTGCCATTACTAAGTGGGAAAGAAAAGAATGTGCATATTTAAATATATGCTTGTATTAAAGCAAAGTTTGGGTGCCCTGAACAAATGAAGTCAATGAAGTTGCTGCACTACGGCTCATGCACTCAGAGATACTTTAAAAGTGAAGCTGTAAAAGGAATATCTACCAGTTTCAGCCATTGTTTTATACCACAGCTGCATTAAAAATTAGTTTCATAGATTTCATAGACGTTAGGGCTGGAACGGACCTCGGAAGATCATCGAGTCCAGCCCCCTGCCCAAAGGGCAGGAAGTCAGCTGGGGTCATAGGATCCCAGCAAGATAAGCATCCAGTTTGCTCTTGAAGGTATTCCATGTAGGCGCTTGAACTACCTCCGGTGGCAGGCTGTTCCAGACCTTGGGGGCTCGGACAGTAAAGAAATTATTCCTTATGTCCAGCCTGAAACGGACTAGTAGTTCAACTATATAGTAGTTGAATATAGTTCAACTATATTTTTTGCTCAGACATTTTTATGAGACTTTAAGTAGTTCAGAAGTCTACCCAAAAGCTATGGACAGGGAAGATGAGGAGTCCTTAAGAAGGAAGTATGCACGTTCAGACATGTTCCATTCATCATCTTCAAAGCAGCTTCCTCCTGAAACAAAGCACTTAGAATCATAGAAAGTTAAGGTTGAAAGGGATCTCAAGAGGTAATCTAGTTCATCCCCCTGCTCAAAGCAGGGCCATTCCCAACTACATTATCCCAGCCAAAGCCTTGTCTAGCTGGATTTTAAAAACCTACGATGGAGTGTGGTGCCATTGCTCAGCAACTCAGGAGAGCTGATTACCGGCACCTAGGAGAAAGCTGAACTCCTGAATGACTACTTTGCCTCAGTCTGTCACCGGACCAAGGGGAAAACCACACCAGATAGAGTAGAGAATGAACACAGTAGGAATAATCACCTTCCTACTATTGCCGTAGAATTGGTGTATGACCAATTAATAAAATTAGATGTGTACAAGGCAGCAGGACCAGATGATCTTCATCCAAGTGCTGAAGGAGCTGGCCGAAGTCATTGCAGGACCCCTGGCAAAACTCTTCCACAACTCGTGGCACTCTGGAGAAGTCCCTGACAACTGGAAGGCCAATGTTGTGCCCATCCACAAGAAGGGCAGGAGGGAGGACCTGGGTAACTATAGGCCAAACTTCCATCCTTGGGAACATCCTAGAAAAGTTAATCAAGGAGTCTATTTGCAATAAGCTTGCAGAAGGTAAGATTCTGAAGGACAGCCAGCATAGCTTCGTCACAGGCAGGTCTTGCCTTACCAACCTCATCTCTTTCTATGACCAGGTGACTTGCCACCTGGGCATGAGAGAGCAGGTTGACATTGTATACCTAGACTTCCAAAAGGCCTTTGATCTAGTATCCTACAATGTCCTCGAGAGAAAATTGGAAGATTGTGGGCTTAACTCCAAGACAGTCAGGTGGGTAAGAAACTGGCTGCAGGATAGGACCCAGACGGTCATAGTGAATGGCTCTGTGCCGTCCTGGTGAGAAGTGGACAGAGGTGTCCCTCAGGGGTTGGTGCTTGGTCCAGTACTTGATTTGGATGTGGGGGTGAAGGAGCTCACTGGCCAAGTTCGCAGACAACACCAAAGATGGGGGAGCGTGGTCACACTTGAAGATTGGCTACAGATACAGGTGGACTTAGGCTAGCAAGGTCCACCAGGTTGGGACAAGCAACCCCCCCACACACCTACAGGCTTTTTGGAGCTGACTAGCACCACGAATGAAAGGGACCTTGGGGTAATAACAGACCACAGTATAAATATGAGCCAGCAGTGTGATGCTGTAGCCAGGAGGGCAAATAATATTCTGGCATGCATCAATCAATGCATCTCCAGCAAAGCCAAGATGATTCTTCTGCTCTACTCAGCACTGGTGAGCCCACAGCTGGAGTGCTGCATCCAGTTCTGGGCACTACACTTCAACAAGGTTGTAGACAAGCTTGAGAGAGTCCAAAGAAGAACCACCCATATGATCAGAGTCTTACACAGTAAGCCATATGAGGATAGACTGAGGGATCTGGGACTCTTCAGCGCGAGGAAAAGAAGGCTGACGGGGGGGACCTGGTAGCAGCTGACCACTATACTAGGGGTGTACATCAAGGGCTCAGTGAGCAGTGTTCACCAGGGCACCTGAGGGGAAAACTAGGAGTAATGGCCACAAACTCCTGAAAGATCAATTCAGGCTCAACATTAGGAAAAACTTTTTCACAGTCAGGGTGTCTAGACTGTGGAATAAGTTCCCTCCAAAGGTGGTGCAATCATCTACCCTGGAAATATTCAAGAGAAGACTAGACAGTCACCTTGCTGGGGTCACCTGACCCCCCAGTTATCTTTTCTGCTTGGTGCAGGGGACTGGACCCAATGATCTGAGGTCCTTTCTGGCCTTACAGTCTGTCTATCTAGGAGCGCCAGTTCCTCCTGTTTATTCCTCAGACTCCTGCCATTTGTGTACAGGCAACCAAGCCTGCCACTGGAGGTCCTAGGCTTCCCAGCACTCTTGGAAGAGCCCCACCCCTGGGCTGGGGTAGGAGTGAGTTCTGTTGGGGGTTCGCTTGTGCCCCTGTGCTGGATGATTTAGTAGTTCTGCAGTTGTTGCTTGGTGGGTTTGCATTGGTGGTTGTCCACCCATCCCCGATTGATCTTAGTTTAAAACCCGGTTGAGTAGGTCAACCATTCTGGCCAAGAGGAGCTCCTTCCCCATTGGAGTGAGGTGGAGGCCATCCCTTCCCAGTAGGTCAGTGCCTCCACCTCTGAAGTGCAGGCTATGGTCAAAAAAGCCAAAGCCTTCACGCTGGCACCAGGGCCACAGTCTTCTATTGACTTAGTCAATTTGTCTCTCCCTCCTGTGCCCGTGACCTATAACCAGGAGGACTGAGGAAAAAACTACCTGCGTTCCTAATCTCTTGAGCCCCATCGTCAGACCCCTGTAGTCACTCATGACCTGGCTTGTATTGCTCCAAACCATGTCATTTGTGCCCACATGGATGAGCATGGGGTAGTGACTGGAAGACTGGACAAGTTTTGGGATTGTCTCAGTTACATCTTGGATACATGCCCCTGGGAGGCAGCAGACCTCACAGGCCAGGGGGTTGGGGCAGCAGATTGCTCCCTCCGTCCCCCTCAAAAGGGAGTCACCCACGCCGATCACTGTTTCTTCCTTGGGGTGGTTGAAAGTTGAAGGCTACCATAGAAGGCAGTCAGTTTGGTTAGGCATGACTTGCCCCGGTGAATCCATGCTGACTGTTCCTAATCACCGTTTTTTCCTCCAAGTGCTTAAAAATGGTTTCCTTGAGGATCTACTCCATGATCTACTACATGTCCAGCTTTTCTAGGTAGTCCCTAAGCTGTTCTTTCACCGCTGTTGGCTGCTCATCTCCCCAAACTGTTCTGCCCGGTGCAGTATGGGAGCTGACCTTGCCTGTGAAGACAAAAGCAAAAAAGTAAGCATTGAGCAGTTCAGCCCTTTCTGCAGCCTGTCACAAGGTTGCCTCCCCCATTCAGTAAGGGCCCCCACTTTCCCTGATCCTCCTCTTGCTACTGACATGTAGAAACTCTTCTTGTTCCCCTTCATATCACTTGCCAGCTGCAACTCCAATTCTGTTTTGATCTTCCTGACTTCATCCCTGCATGCCTGAGCAATGCTCTTATATTCTTCCCTAGTTATTTGTCCAAGTTTCCACCTTTATAAGCTTCCTTTTTGTGATTTAGTTTACTAAAGAGTTCCCTGCTAAGCCAAGCCATTTTTCTGTCATACTTGCTAGTCTTCTTGCACTTGGGGATGGTCCATTCTTGCATTCTCAGTACACCTTCTTTAAAGAAATCCATACTCTCATGGACTCCTCTCCCCCTCCCTTCCCTAGTTATTTGTCCAAGTTTCCACCTTTATAAGCTTCCTTTTTGTGATTTAGTTTACTAAAGAGTTCCCTGCTAAGCCAAGCCATTTTTCTGTCATACTTGCTAGTCTTCTTGCACTTGGGGATGGTCCATTCTTGCATTCTCAGTACACCTTCTTTAAAGAAATCCATACTCTCATGGACTCCTCTCCCCCTCCGTCTGGCTTCTCAGGGGATCCTGCCTATGAGTTCCCCGAGTCAAAGTCTGCTTTTCTGAAGTTCAGGGTCCTTACTCTGCTGCTCTCCATCCTTCCTTTCCTCAGGATCCTGAACTCTCATTTTGTGGTCACTGCTGCCCAAGTTGCCATCTGCTACTACATCCCCCACCAATTCTTCCCAGTTTGTGAGTAGCAGATCAAGAGGAGCATAGCTCCTAGTTGGCCACTCCAGCACTTGCACCAGGAAGTTGACCCCAACACTCTCCAAAACTTCCTAGGTTGCCTGGACACTGCTGTACTGCCCTCCCAGCAGATGTCAAGGTGATTCAAGTCCCCCATGAGAAGGGCTTGTGATCAGGAAACTTCCACTGGCTGTTTGAAGAAAGCCTCATCCACCACTTCCTCTGATCTGGTGGTCTATAGCAGACACCCACCACAACATCACCCTTGTTGCTTTCCCCTCTGACCGTGACCCAGAGACTCTCAACAGGCCTATCACCAGCTTCATACTGGAGCGCTGAGCAATCATAAGGCTCTTTTACATTAAGTTCAACTCCTCCTCCTCTGCCTGTCCTTCCTGAACAGATTGTACCCAATTTTATTACTTGATCTCTTCAACCTTTATAAAAGACGGCTGAGGAGTGACCTTGTAGCTGCCTATAAGTTTATCAGGGGAGGACAGCAGGGAATTGGGGATGTGCTGTTTACCAGAGCGCCCCAGGGAGTAACTAGGAATAATGGGTGCAAAAACTAGTGGAGAGTAGATATAGGTTAGACATTTGGAACTTTTTACAGTAAGGGTGGCCAGAGTCTGGAGTGGGCTTCCAAG